TTTTACGGGCATGGCAATGTATTTTCTTCAGGGAGTGTAGTCCTCGATCCTCGTGCCACCAATCACGCATCTCGATGCATGATGGCCGAGGAGTCGAAATGTGCAACTCAATATAGAATGAATGCACATGAAAATTCAACTAAAATCTAACTCCATCATGGATGATCCGGAGTGTCGGTGACTGGGGAATTGAGACACGTTCCGTCACTCGGAGTGTGAAACGTACCTCGTTTCCCGTGCCCGGGCTAACTCCTATCCCAAACACAATGCAATATGCATGACATGCATGAATGCAACTAATATACAACCTAGCATGCACAATGCTATGAAATGGCATACATGATGCACGAGGTAACATGGCATACACAATGCACTAACATACGGCCTACCATACACAATGCTATGAAATGAAATGGCATACACAATGCAATATGGGCTTACACCAACATGAGTGGACCTCAGCCGCACTCACATAGGAGGCCATTAGATGAAAATGAGACACTCGAGATGCGTGCACACGTGCACGCAAACCGAGGACCGAACCTAAGGCACAAATGCCACTCTAACAAAGCATGGCAAGGTATGAAACATGATATGAAAACATGCAAATTTCAGTACCAAAATATGATGCAAAACAGCCCCGAAACATGGAAACATGGCACCCGATGCATGAAATGAGACCCGAAACTCGAAACTAGGCGCATGGAATGACTTATAGCTATACAAAGCATGCCTTATTTGAATATGAAGCATAAATACAGAATCAAGGAAGTCCCAAAACATGCATATTTCCAGTTTTAATCAAGGCCAAAAAGTGAACACAAATAGGGCTAAGTTAACATGCAAAAATGGCCCCAAAAGAGAGATAAAGAAGCAAGTAGCAGCTTCTGGCCCTAAAAAATGAAGATCCCTTCAACAAAGTTGAAGAGGGTCTCAAAACAAGGTATTTTACAGTTTATGGCCGGGCTCAAAACAGTGCACAAGTAAGCTTAAAATACTATGCAAGAAATAGGCCTAAAAGAAGGTTTAAACACAAAGTGTAAAAAGAGAGCCTCAAACAGCAAAAGACCCTTGATCAAACATGAAGAGTGGGTCAAAATATGACTATTTTCAGTTCGGGTCTGAGCCCAAAAATACAAGCACAAGGGGCTAACAAAACATGCAAAAATAAGGCCAAAAGAGGGATAAAGAGGAAAGTGACAAAAGGAAGCCTCAAACAGTAAAGATCCCTTCAACAATGTTGAATAAGGGCTCAAAATAAGCCACTTTTCAGTTTATAACCAAGCTTGAAACAATTTAAAAATGAGCCTAAAATACCATGCAAGAAAGAGGCATACAAGAGAGGTAAAGAAGCAAGTGTAAAAAGGAAGCCTCAAACAGGGAGAGGCCCTTAAACAAACATGAAAAGGAGCTTAAAATAATGCTATTTTCAGTTAGGGTCGGAGCCCAAATATACAAGCAAGAGGAGGTAATATATTGAGCAAAAATAGGGCCAAAGAGAGGGATATAAGACTTACCCTTGAAGACCAATGCTTCAACAACTCTTGACTTGATAAAAGGTGCTCCTTGCCTCTGGAAAACCAGCTCCAAGTGTTGGAAAGGATGGTGGGGAGGTGGTGCTATGTGGTGGTGTAGAAAGGGGCAAAAAAAAAAACAAAAGGGTTTTGATGCTTGGAATATAGAGAGAGAGAAATTAAATGTAGGAGGCTTAAACAAAATTTTTTTCTAACCCAAAATGCAGCTGGAGCTGCTGGTTTTATAGAGGGAGGAATGGAGGAAAAGGGGGGAAAAATGGGAGGGAAAATCAATTCAAATTTCTCCCAAAAAATAGGCCTAAAAGAGAGATAAAGAGGCAAGTGGTAGCTGCTGGCCTCAAACTGAAGAGAGCCCTTCAACAAAGTTGAAGAAGGGCTCAAAACAAGACACTTTACAGTTTACATCAAGTCACGAAACAGCTCACAAATAAACCTAAAATACCATGCAAAAATAGGCCTAAAAGAGAGTTAAAGAGGCAAGTGATAGTAGGAGACCTCAAACAGCAAAAGGTCCTTAATCAAACATGAAAAGGAGCTCAAAATATGACAGTTTGGGTCGGAGCCCAAAAATTCTTGCAAGCAAGGCTTAGATATAGAGTAAGATAGGAACAAAAAAGAGAGAAAAGAAGCTTACCCTTGAAGACCAATGGACCAGCAGCTCTTGGTCTAAGAAATGGTGCTCCTAAGCTCTGAAAAATAGCTCCAAGTTGTTGGAATGGATGGTGGTAGGGTGTATACCAAAAACCGGGGCAAACGGAGGTGGTTAAGCGGTCCCGAACCGAGGCACACGGCCGTCGGCTCCGAAAAACCGGAAACCGGGCTCCAAACGGGAAAAATGGCCTACGACCATGAAACGTAGCCTACGGCCACTGAGAGATGACCTACAAGACCTCTCCATCCCTTTGGGAAGAGAAAACAGAGAAAAGGGAGCCTGGTTCGCAAATCGAGGCAAGACACGAAAGAGCCCGGAAGTCCGGAGGCAAGGCTCGCAGCCGAGACGCTGAAACTTTTGAACGAGCACAATATGCACCATCACCGAGCGCTCAATCGGTGACGTCTGAGTCTTAAGGTCGGTCAAAAATGAGGTGTCTACACTAGACAAAGTAGAAATATGATCAACTCCATTTCAGTAAATGGTGTGTCCTATGAGGAACCTAGTAGAGTCAAACATGAGGTGATCCTTCATTTCATGAATCAATTCAAGGAAAGTTGGGTGAATAGGCTTGTGTTGGATGGGGATTTCAAATCAATTGAAGGCAACTCTGTATCTCTCCACCTAGTTTCTGACTTCACTGAAGCAGAGGTTTTGGAAACCATCAAAGAGAGTACTGGTAACGAAGCTCCGGGCGCAAATGGGTTTAACTTGTTATGCTATCAAAAATATTGGAAAGTTATGAAGTAGGAGATCATGTAATTTTTTAGAGATTTCTACACAAACAATAGGCTCACCTATGGTATCAACAACTCCTTCATTACCCTCATTCCCAAGCTTATCAATCCCATTAATCTGACTAATTATAGACCCATTAGCCTAGTTGGTTCTTTATACAAAATTTTGGCAAAAGTCCTTGTGCATAGGATGAAGCCAATAATGCCCTCAATTATTTGTGAGACTCAGACAGCTTTTATAGGTGGAAGAAATATCATTGATAGGGTGTTTATTGCAAATGAAGTAGCTGATGATTGGAAGAAAGCCAAACGGCAAGGGCTAATTATCAAGTTGGACTTTGAGAAAGCCTTTGATTCAGTGAACAAGGAATTCTTGTTCTCCATGTTGTCCAGTTTTGGTTTTGGGTCTAAATGGATCTCTTGGATGAAAGCCTGTATGTCTTCAGCCCCGGATCTCTATACTAGTGAATGGATCACCAACTAGTGAATTTTTTCTGCAAAGAGGCCTTAGGCAAAGAGACCTATTATCACCATTCATTTTCAATATTGTGGTTGAAGGGCTTAATATTCTTCTTACCAGAGCAATTAATATTGGCATACTTAAAGGAGTTTTGGTTGGAGCTAATAAGCTCATTTTATCTCATTTCCAATTTGATGACGACTCTATTCTTTTCTGTGAAGCAAATTTGGATCAAGTGGTTATTATCAAAAGAATCCTTAGATGCTTTGAAGTTCTATCCGGTTTGAGAATCAATTACCACAAAAGTGTTGTTTGTGGAGTTGGTGTGGCGGAGGAGTCACTGCATTGTTTTGCACACCTCTTGAATTGTAAGGTGCTTAATTTACCTTTGAAATTTTTAGGGTTGCCTTTAGGTGCCAACCCAGGTAGGAAATCAACTTGGAAACCTGTGCTTGACAATGTTAGAGCAAGACTTTCAGGATGGGCGAGGAAAATGCTGTCCTTCGCTGGAAGATTAACTCTGATTAAGTCTGCCCTATCAAGTTTACCTGTGTACTAGCTTTCTCTCTTTAGGATGCCTGAAGGTGTGGCTCGTAACTTTGAGAAAATTGAGGCTGCTTTCCTGTGGGGTGGTATTGAATTAAAAAGGAATGTTCATTTGGTGAAATGGTTAAAAGTAACAAAGAGTGTTCCCCAAGGGAGTCTGGGCATCAGGAGGATTAGGGATGTCAATACTTGTCTGCTTCTCAAATGGTAGTGGAAATTTGGTATTCAAACTAATGCACTATGGAGGCAAGTTATATGTAGTAAATATAAGATAGAGGTAGACTGCTGGCATCCTCTTGTGAAATCTTCCTACAAACATTCTAGGGTGTGGAAGGACATTACATTCATACGGGTTCAGAGTAGGAACATATTCAACTACTTCTTGGATAATTGCCTAATCAAGGTGGGAGATTGCCGCAAAATCAAATTTTGGCATGATAAGTGGTGTGGAGTCACTTCCCTTAAAGATGTGTTCCCTTCTCTATTCACTCTCTCTTCTGTCAAGTCTGGTTCCCTTTACTTTTTTTATGCAACGAAAACTAGCTTTAATAATTGGAACTTCCTAGATATAAGAGCTTTATATGCTTGGGAATTGGCTGTTAAAGTTAGACTACTTGCCTTGTTATTCTCTGCTCCTACATTAAGTCTTGAGTGTGTTGACAGTCTTTTAGCTTGGGCTGCTGCAGTTGCTGGTTCTAGTATCTTCTCTATGTCTTCATTATACTCCTTTAGCACATCTCTTCTTGGGCCTTCTCTCAGCATGTGCAAGTTTATATGGAATCACACCTTACTCCCCAAAATCCACTTTTTTGGTTGGTTGGCCTAGAAAAACAAAATTAAAACATCTGAATTCTTGCACAATTTTGGCATTCTAGGTAACAACTATTCCATCTCTTGCATCTTCTGCAATTCTACTCCAGAATCTGCTCATCATGTTCTGCTATATTGCACTTTCTCTTGGGCCATTTGGTCCTCTGTGCTTTATGATTAGGGTTTTCAATGGTGTATTCCAATATTTGTGACAGGTCTGCTTAATTGGTGGATGAGGGTGAATTTTAAGTGTTTACTCATAAAATTTTGGAGAGCCATTCCCCTAGTTGTCCTTTGGTTTCTTTGGAAGCATAGGAATGAGTGTGTTTTCTCTAATGTCCATTCTAACTCGGCTGACATGTGGGAACTCATCAAGGTCAGATTAGCTTTTTGGGTCAAAGCCTCTCTCAAGGACTTCCTCTTCTCTATCAACGATATTGTTCTCAACTGCAGGCAAATAAGGGGCTGCCATTGAGTTGATTTGTCAAGCTATCAAGCTAGGTTTAGTTAATCTGTATGCCTTACTGTAGTGCTCTGTTGTGCTAAAAAGAGGGTATGAGGGTTGAAGTTGTCTGCTAATGGTCTGCTAACCTGCTAATAGTCTTGCTGATCTGCTAGTCTGCTAATTATTCTGGTCTTACTCTGCCTTTCAGTAGAAGTTGGCTGCTTATGGTTGTGTTGAAGCTGTTTTGTGGGTCTGTTTGTGCCCAACAGTGGCTATGGTTGTTTGTTTGTGCCCAGCTGTGGCTTTTGCTTTATCTATTGGATTCTCACCAACTGGATGTTACTTAGTGACACCTGTGCATGCTACTTTTCCATCAGTTAAAGCTGGTTAGTTGCATCAACAATATTATATTAGATTTGATGTACTTAATTTTTTACACATTTTTTTCATACACTTTGTTGCAAGTGGGACTCACATAGTATAGTATTAGAAACTCATTTAAAATAATTTGTAAAAAATCAAGTACCTATATCTTTGCTCTAGTTGCATTGCGCCCCTGCATGTGGAACCAATCCTCAATTGCTACATGAGTTGATAATTCTCACAATATATTTGGTCTATGTTTGGATAGAAAATTTGAAATAAGATTTGTGGAAAAAAAAAAGGAGGAAAGATCAAAATACAAGGTAAATTTTGTTCATTTTTATTTATTTATTTTTTTCTTACACAAATTCCTCTACAAAAAACTTAAGTTGATATAGGAGGTAGTACTGGAAAAAAAAAAGAATATATTTCATTTAACTAAGCAAATAGCTCTTAATAGAACTGAATGGATAAAAAAGATTTATGTAGCTAGTTGTACTTGATTGAAACACAATACTTAGTTTGGTTTGGTTTAATTACATAAATCTCTCCCCAAATTTTTAATCCAAACACACGCTTAAGGGGGTTTGATTAACTGAAATAATTTCAGGCATGAATATAATAGAGATTGGAGTGAGTCTGGAATGGAATAAAGTAGAAATGGTCATTCCCAATGTTTGGTGAAATGTAAGAATCAATGTAAGAGTGTGTGGCTAGCAACGAATTTTTTTGATGACAGAGAAGAGACGAAGAGACAAGAGAAAAAGATGAATTTCTTGTCATGAGATTATAATTTCAACAAATGAAATTTTCTTGTAAAAGCAAAAGTGTAAAGGGGGCATTTTTGTCTAAAAAAATTGAAGACCTTAGTCTCCTATTGAAAATATCATTCTCTTATATTAATGAATAATGATTTAATCTAAAATGTATATTCTATCACTTTCTAGTGAATCAAATGAAGGAATTGACATTGACAAAATAATTATTTCATTCTAACATTTGTTCTAAAGAACTAAATACTATCTTTAACGCCTCTCTTACTATTCGTAGCCTCTCTTACTATTCGTAACACGTACGCATGTGATTGCCAAAATCACATTTTTTCAAAAGCACAAAAAACACAAATTACAAGTAGGCTAACAACTATAACTAAATCAAGATTTAGGTTGTAACTCACGTGTTCATAAAGAGCATTTAGATAGCAGCAATGTGAGATCTTAAGTTTAAGTCAACAGAGTGCGGAGTGGTGTCGAACTGCTGTACTAATTTAACATTGTGATTTTTGTTCATTCATATGAAATAATGTGAGATTGAAAGACAATGAGTTTGTAGATGTTTTAAGTAGATAAATACAACTAACGGGGCTTGCGTGATTGTCCAAAGCTTTTGTATTTCATTAAGGCTGTGTTTGGTTGGAGGATTTGGAGAGAGATTTGGAAAAGGAAAGAGAAAAGGTATGTGAAACTATGTGAAATTTAGGCATATTTTATTTTTATTTCACCTACCTTTTCCATTTCCCTTTCCAAATCCCTCCTCAAATCCCCCAACCAAACACAGCATAAGGGATTAGTAGTTTGAATCTCCCCATGATTGAAATTTTCTCTTCCACTTTGAAAGTGTCTTTCTTTTGATTATGTTCTTTGACTTAGGTGGCCCAATATTAGGCCCATTGGGCTACAAAAGGAAATCCATCGATACCTCCCCCTCCCTTTTTTTTTTTTTTTGCGCCCAAGTTCTATATTCAATGAGACACAATCCAAGTACGGCTGCTCAAAGAGTTAAACTTCTTAAAAAATTAATAATTTTTCCCCAGTTGTAATAGTTGGTTAACTAATATTTTTAATCTTAAATTAAAATTTGAAATTTACATTCATTCAAATAGATACTTAGGCTATGTTTGAATCCGATTTTGAGTGTGTAAATAATACACAGATTATGATTGGTCTGAAATAGTGGAGCCCATAACTTTAAATGAGATCAACATACTTTGAATATAGGACTTATTGTTTTTGGATCAATAAGAACTTATGTATTATTTACATTTTCAAAGTGTATGAACAAATTCATTTTCGTTATGTTTGAACCCTCCACCCTTTTACTGCAGTGTGTTCGACTTTTTAAAAATGTTTGTTGTCATTCTTGCATTTTTGGTTTTTATTATTCATGTATTTTCAAAAACAAAAATAATGATAATTTTGAAAACATTCATTATTTTTAGAGAATTTTTTTTAAGGTACCTGATATTAAGATTTTATAAGATAAAGGATATACAGTATTTTAATAATAGTTAAGGTTTCTCAATATTTTCACAGAAAAAATTCAACTAAGAGATATTTTGCTTAACTCAAAGAAATTTCTCTAATTTCACAGAGAAATTTTGAAATTTCTCTGTGATCATACCAGAGAAATTTTGAAATTTCTCTATAAAAATTGATATTTCTCTGAGTCGGAACCGAAATTTCTCTGAGTCAAATTTTCTCTGTGAAAATGTTGAGGGACCTTAGCTAATAAAAAAAAAATTCTTGGACCTTTCCTACTATACAAAGTTGGAGATGAATGTTTCACTAATTTTCTCTTATTTTTATATATTATTTTTATTATTATTTTTTTTTTGCAAAAATAGATTTCGAAGATTTGAAAATATATATATTTGGTTTTTTTTGATTGTTATATTATTATTTTTTTTAAAAAAAGTAGTTTTTGAAAACATTTCCGTATATATATATTTTTTTTATGAAAATGAAAAAAAATAAAAAATACTAAACATGTTGGCCATGTTTGGAAATGAAAGGTCGGTTTTGAATACTTGGTTCTCTGTACATCTTGTCAGCGGTGGAGACGAATGCCCATAGTTTTCTCTTTATTTATTTATTTATTTATTTTAAATAAATGTTTCAACTATTGTTCGGTGTATCTCTGTTATCTAAGTATTATTAGTGTCTTTACTTAAAAAATAAAAAATAAAAAATAAATATTTACTTAAAATACTAATTATTCATATAATTCTGGAAATTATATCATGTCTCCTAAAATTTTAAATTGCATAACAAATAATCATCAACTGTTAACTCAATTAATAATTTTTAATGATATTTTCAATTAACAGTTTTTGTAATTTCATTGTTATATGGGAGGATAGTTAAGAAATTTTTTTTTTCTATGAATACTGTTAAATGAAAAATTCTGACAGTGAAATATTTGTAACTTTTAAAATCATTAGAAATAATCTGTATTTTAAACAAATTTCAGAAGATGTATTTGTAATTTATCCAAATAAAAAAAAATAAAAAAACTGTAATTCACAAAAAATACTTTGATTAGAAATGTATGGCTGTGTTCAACAGGTGGTTCCTTGATCCATCTTGTCAATAGGTGGATGAATATCCATAGTTTTATTTATTTATTTATTTATTTTGGTGGACAAAAATAAATTTGTTTGGTGGGGAGCAAAGTAGATTGACTTACACCCTAAATATAACCCACTAGGGGAGCAAGATTAATTTCAGAATGATATAATCTGAGGATTGAGAGTGACTCCTATACTATGATAAGATTACATAGTTAGGGATTTGTAATAATCTTAAAAGGTTGATAATTGTTGACATATTGACCTTAATGTTATTCTTCCTATCAAAAGCTTAACCTCGATTGGGAAGTTGGTAAAAAGTTAACTTTTGGCTTTTTTTAGCCAAAAAAGTTAACTTTTTAGGTAGTGACTTGGGTAAAAAAATTAACTTTTTTAGCTAAAAAAGCCAAAAACTAACTTTTTAGTAGCTTGCCAAAGATCAAATTTTATGGTTGCTTCCTTTGCTTCATTTGGCCTCGTATTTTTTGACTTACAAAATAAAATAAATCAACAAAAAAGCTTATGCATTTCATTTTTTAGATAATTATGTTTGATAATTTTTTAGTATTTTTAATTTTATTGCAGAATGACCAATGTGTTATGGAGGGCAAAATGGTAAACATACATTACATCACAATAGTGTAATGCATTGGTTTGGTACTTATTTTTTTTTCATTTCTTTATCCATTTTATCCTTTGTTCTTATGATAATGCAAACTTTCATATCTGATACTCATTAAATTTAATCGAGTTGTAAACACTCAAGAATAAATTCAAACTTTTGAATTCGAATCATCTCAAGGGGCAACTGAAAATTTGTCTCATTGTTAATTTCAATGTACCAAGATTAGTTGAGATGATCACAAACTGATTATCAAAAAAAAAAAAGTAATCTAGACTATTGTTAAAGAGACCTTTTGTTTCCTTCACCATATATATATATATCCCATTTTTTGTATATCTATCTACAAAAACGCTGTATGTCAAGTTTTAGTCACTTTTTATATAAGTGCTTAATTTGATGATTGTGATTGGATTTGCAATTGAAAAAAATTAAATAAGGAAAAATCATATAAATCTTGTTATATATGTATGTGGTGAAATAAAAAGAAAAAAAAAAATTGTATAACACTCTAATTATTTCCGGTAGATAAAGCATGTGAGATCTAAGAACATTGGGAAGTTGATTGACTTTTTGACTATTTTAGCCTGGGATTAAAAAGTCTCGTTTGGGGAGGGCTTTTTGGTTTTTTTGAATTTTTGTGAGAGAAAGAATGTAATGATTATAGGTTGGATATGATATTTTGTCTTATTAGATTAAAAAACATATTTTATTTTTTTGTAACTAAAATAACCCCAAACTCAACACAACCCATCTTCCCAAACAGAGGCACAATGACACCAAATGTTCGTGAGGGAGAAGAAGAAAGTCCATAGAATTTATTTGACATTCTTAGAATGGAAACTTCAAATACCATTAGCCTATCAACTGTTAGTGATCCCATAAAAATAATTTTAAAATATATGTACACACAAGGCAACTCATGCATGTGCTCCTACCCACCATGGCACATTGTAGCTCCAACCCCATTTATTGCCATTCAATAAGGAATCTACATCACTAATCATGTAAATATTTGATTATCAAAAATTAATAAACAAGTGATAAACGTAAATTAATGACCATGAACATATGCCCCATCAACATGCACATGGTCTTGTTCCCTCCCTCACTTGGGTTCATTGATTTCATTGATTAGCTTTCTCACCCAGAAAATAATGATAATATTTAATAGATTAATGAATAAACAAAAGGAATACATGATTTGATGAATCTTGTGGAAGAAAAAAAAAATTGCATTAAAATTGGAATAAAAAAAACACACACACACCAACAATTGTGCCAGCAAAGACAACATTACAAAAAAAAAAATAAAAATTAACAGGACATAATTAATAAACAAGCCAGACATGTCCTATTGCTTCTTGTCGATTAAATGTTCAGATCTTTCAGATATACATTATATTATATTATATACTATGAAATCAAAATATTATTACAGACACATCCAAACAACACCTTGCTTGATCCACCTTGTGCAAGTGTGCTACATTCAGGAAGAGCAGGCAATTGTGGTACTGTTCAGCACCTGCTCTTGCATTTCTCCATGGCTCTTGGTGCTGAATGTTGAAAACAAAAACAAAAAAAATAAATTTAAAAAAATTTAATTAATTAAAACATTACTTAAAGAGAGTAATGGTACTTAAACATAAAAACTGTACATAAATTTTTTATATATAATGATGTGACATATTTAGGTTTGTCATTCAAACTTAAAATAATATATTATTTAAAAAAATGTTACTGTCTGGTTGAATATTCAGTATAAAATTTATGAACTAATAAACCTTATTAGTTAAATTGTAATAATTTTGTTAAACAACTTATCCATTGTTTTATGTATTTATAATTAAAATGAATATATGTTACTTTTGCAACAAAAATGGATTAAAATTTAAGATTCTATTTGGATCTTGAATCTGTAAAAAAAGAAAAAAAAGAAAAAAAATTGTACAGAGAAAAAGAAAGAAAAAAAATTTATATAAATTCGAGATCCAAATGCAACCCAAAGTATTAATCCTCAATGTTGTGACGTAGTTGATCAACTTTTTAGCTTGAATAATAAAAGATTGCACATAAATATTTGATACAAAGTATACTAGAAATTTTGACATACGAAAGTAATGCTTACCAAGTCCAATTGCTTCAGATCCTTTCATTACGCGAAGACGTTTGCATGAATCAACAAACATCCTGTATGAAGTTAATAAAACATGGATCATTAACGTTTTTTCATGCAACAAATTTTATTTTATTTTATTTTTAAGTTTTGGCATGAAATTCACTTCGGATTTTTATTATAATCTGGACCATTGCTGTGACATTTCACAATGTCAGCCATAAGAGTATATCAATAATTCTTAGTTACCTAAACAAAATTAATTAAAATTTTACCCAAAAGTAGAGTATATGATATAAATTTAAAATTAATAAATTGCAGGTCATATCTAAAATATATTGTTCACACATTTCGAACTGCATAAAAGAATTTAATAATATTTGTGGGTATCTTGCAAAATTGTAAAAGTATTCCTTTGTGTTACCTGCACAAGAGATTAATTTTACAATAACACTACATACTTAGAAAAATTACTCAAAATAAAATATCCAAAAAATTATATCTACAGACCACAATCATTGTCACATCTCATGAACTTTAACTTACACCATACACCATGCTTTTGAAGTAATTTTTAGAGTAAAATTTAATCATAAATAACATTTTCCCTAGTGTTAATGTGCAAAAGGTGTTCTGCGATTCATCAAGAATCTGACATCAATGGCTTTGTGTAGATCTGTACTTGGTACTCCCTATATATATATATATATATTATCCATATGGTTACATGTTTTAGGGCTTTTTTAGGGAAAAAAAAAATGAAAACTTACTTCCATGGGACATCCCCCACGAGCATCCAGTCTCCATCCTTATCTTCATAGGTGGGCACATACTCGGAGCTGTGCAACAGATTCATCAACTTGCTCTCATTCATGAAATCTATCATTCCTTGGGCCCCATAGTTACCTACATTAATGAAATTATTACTCAATAATGCTACGGAATCAAAAAAATAAATAAATAAAAATAAAAAAGTGATTGAAAAATTAGCCACAAGATGAAATTTCTAGACCAGATTCATTCTGAGTGTAACTCATAATACATTAAATTTAAATCTGCATCATTTAATTTATTTTTTTTGACAATTTTGGCCTACTTTTTCTTGCTGCATATAGTCTTTTCTCTTACCATCAAATGGGACACAAACACTCACAAGCTAGCTAGGCTGTAGCATCACCATGATGATTCTAAGATCCACTTTTTCTTGTGCCATGTAGTAATATTATTCTTCTTATATTACTATGCTACCAAAATAATGGAAGAAAAGAATATGCTGTTCTGTTTTTCTGTTAACTCAAAATGGAATTACTTTCATGATAGAACTGGATATGAATAGTTTTCTTAGAAAATTAAAAACTATATCATAAAAATGGCTCTAGATCTCTAGCTGCTAAACAAAAGACATGATCATACATACTATCAGGCATAAAAAAATAAAATTTTAAGACTCTTGAAACTGCACCATCACTACAGTTACCATTATATCGACCACAACAGTTACTTAAAACCTTGATTACGACTCTCAATCTTCTTCATGAGTTACATGCATGCAATTATTGTTTATAAAATTATATATACATACCCATGGTGAAGGAACTAAACATCTTGGCCAAGGCATCAGAAAGTTCTTGGTAGCTCTTGTACATCTTCAGATCCACCTTACGAAGGTAAGGTGCGCCATCCATGGAAACCTTCACAAATGCTACACCGCCACCACTGCTCCTGCTAGTCTTCTCTATCTCCTCGGTGGTGCTCTTCTGAGACATTATGTTCTTCCGGAATGACCTAACTGGCGGCCAACCCACCACCTGTGCCCTAAACACCAAAGGAAATTATGTTAGTGTTCATATGTATCTATTAGTTCATTTAACCCTAAAAAACCCTCTGCTATAAATTCTGCCATTAGGGTAACCCTCGCTGTCAGGTTTTAAATATTGGTTATTACGTATCAGATCAACTCGTAATATCAAAATTTTAAATTTTTGATCCGTATATCAACCAATATTGTTAGAGATCGGGCAATATATTGGTTGATAGTTGAGATATTAACTGATACTATCTAACATCAGTCGATATCACTATACAGCGCATATCAATATGTATCTTAACAGAGTTTTACACTATCATTTAAAGCCTTTCTCATAAGGTTGGTTTAGTATAATTTGGGCGTCACTGACTTAAATCATGGAAACAATCTATCTACACGTTGGGATAAGACTGCGTACATTTATTGTAGTGGCGGAAGCATGAGAATAGGAAAGGATGCTTGAAAAGACTTACTTGGCGGGTGGCTTAGCCGGATCCTTAGTGCAGGGGGGAAGGAGGTTCATCTTCTCCTTTGGTGGACTGTTCTTCATCTTCTCCTTCAGATCCACAACTGATTGATTATTAGGTTGAATAAGGTTGAGTTTCAGATCAACAGTCTCGGAGAAGCCTCTCTTTCCAGTGATCTTCACCATCTCCGCCTCAGCTCCTCCGCCTCCACCAGGCAAGCCAAGGCAGAGCTCAGTCTCCTTGAGATTCAAGCTATACCCATCTCGCTCTTCTCCGAGCAAGTTGGACATTTTCCGGCCAACTTCCATAGAAACTCCGGCTATTCCTTCTTTTTTTGAGCTTCTTCTTCCTTCTACTACTTCTATGTTAACAACCAGAGAGAGAGAGAGACAGAGAGAGAGAGAGAGAGAGCGCAATAATGTAACAGAGGGGAGCAGTGTATATAGTTTTCATGTGCATATATAACAACAATAGCTGCATTGTTCTATCAGGTTCCAAGGGGTAGCGTGTTGACACGTGGGCATCCATTGTATGTTGTTCTTCTTGGATCAAGGACATGCCAATTGTCATTATTTAATTGAGAAAATTTACTAAAATACCCCTAACTTTATAGGAAAATTATTAAGTATTCTGATAATACAATGTGACATTTACTGCACAGTACTCCCGACAAATGATAAACTGCAAAAACAGTAGATGAGTGTATGCATCTTTCAACTACTTAATAAAGATTAATGATGCTATGTGTACCAAAATAAAACATAGAAAAGTGTACAGAAAATGCATGGTAAGGATGAAATTTATTTTTGGTTTGGCGTACCCACACTTGAAATAAATCTCAGTCACACAACACACAATGTGATTTATTTATGTGAATTTAACACTGTTGAATAAAGATAAGTCATCATTATTTAACTCATAAAGTATTTTGTTACGTCATTGATTGAGAGTATCATTTAAACGAGTCCAGATTCCCTCCTTGAGGCCCCTCCTTAATTCCCTCCTTGCAGGGGCCTTCGGGTCTACTTTGAGGCCCAGTTTTGATAATCCAAATTTACGAAAATACCCCTAACTTTATAGGAAAATTATTAAGTATTCTGATAATACAATGTGACATTTACTGCACAGTACTCCCGACAAATGATAAACTGCAAAAACAATAGATGAGTGTATGCATCTTTCAACTACTTAATACAGATTAATGATGCTGTGTACCAAAATAAAACATAGAAAAGTGTACAGAAAATGCATCGTAAGGATGAAATTTATTTTTGGTTTGGCGTACCCACACTTGAAATAAATCTCAGTCACATAACACACAATGTGATTTATTTATGTGAATCTAACACTGTTGAATAAAGATAAGTCATCATTATCTAACTCATAAAGTATTTTGTTACGTCATTGATTGAGAGTATCATTTAAACAATACTACATAGTACTCCGAAATTATTAAATAATTAATTAATTTTGTTTCAAACTTTTGAAATAAGAGGCTATTAATTAAGAAAGAAAAAAATGGAGATAGCATGATTAGGGGAACTAGTGGCCTTGTGGTCCAAAAAGAATAACAATCAATCTGCCCTCCTTGTTGGTTAAGCTTTCTTTGATCACTCTATTGAACAATGAATATAGAATTGCCCTACCATAGGATTTTTATACAGCATTTTCGAGTATTCAATTCAAGTTGTTTTCATAACAACTATTTTGAATTTGTGCAAGGAAAATTCTACATGTACAGAGATGTGAAACAAGCAGAGACAACAACACACTCTCTACAAAGCGAGTAAGGATTTTTCTATCATTATTTTTGTTACAATAAGATACATTAATAAAATACATAATTCAATAATATAAATTTAAATGGAAGTAAAATATCATCAAAATGCCATGTATTTTTTAACATATACACATATTGAAACAATATTGTTTTATTTTAACTTTGAACGTAGACCGTTGAATTATCTCAATAAAACTATTACAGAGAGATCATAGCAGATGATCCTAATCCATTTGGAGCAATACTATATAATATGCAGTTTAAATTCATTTTTAAGTATAGAGCTTACTATATAATAGTTGATTTGAAACTGCACATTATTTTAAAATAAATAAATAAATTATGTCTAGGAAATCTAATTTTCTAGTTTAATCTTTTATGTAATCGAGCAAAGAAAATAACTAAAAAGTTAAAAATTATTATAAATTGTCATATCATTATCTATTTTTTTTACACTTGATTTTATTAAAAAAAATTAAAATAACTAATTTCTAAACTCCCGATGATTATTTTGGAAATAAGTAGAGCGGAAAAAATATAGAATAGGTAAAGAAATGGGTGATTTTGATGAGAGGTCTGGATTCTCAAGTCTTAATCATTGAATTGTTTTAAAAAGTATCTTTGATATCTTACTACTATTAATAAACAAATAGGAAAGTACAGTTCTTTCGTGTATTTGACAGTGAAAATCATTTTTTTGAAAGTGACAGTTATCATTCTTGTATGAATCAACAATGATTCATTCTACTAAAAATATCACTACTAATAGCATTAATGCATTAAAATAGTAAAAAAAAAAAAAAATACAACTCCAACACCAAAACATCACATCATTAATGACGGGACCCACTACCACCTAATTAGTGGCAGCACTAATTAGTGCTCCCAAGCATTTTTCTTGTATGAATATATTAGGAAGTGGTTTTGTTTTTTCACTTTAATTTTCATTTTCATTTTTTTAAGTTGAGTTTTAGTTATTTAAATGATTCAAACAATTTAAAGTTTTCGCAATGAGTATGCTTGATGTAAATTTTTTTTTTTTGGGATAACTCGGTATTTACCGATTAATTTGAGGTATTATTTATTATAAGTTAAAAATTAAAAATTAAAAGCACTTTTCTCTTAATTTTTAAATAATTAATTTTTTAAACTTATTTAAAAGTTAAGAAAATTATATACAAACTTATTTTTTAGACCCAATAATGTTAAGTACTATAATTGATTGATAAGTAGAGAAGATATGAGAGAAATAGTGTTGTTTTAAATATTTTAATACATTATCTCACCATTAAGCTTAAAAAGTAAGTCTAATTTTTGAATTTTGTACCAAATAGTTGCCATGAACTCTCAGAAATCAGCTCAAATAAATTTTGTGACAAACAATTTATTTTCATTATTCAAATTTTATTTTCATTATGTTGTTTTAGAATGAAATATAATTTCTAATTACCTTCTAAATCAAATAAGATTCTCATAGAAACTACATCCCCGTGAAAGAACTCACATCCGTTCACGAATGTAAATCATTTTGAGAATTTTTATTTTATTTTTTAATGAACGGGTAAGAAAGTAATTAAACGTATGAGAAGTATATTATAGAGTGCTGCTATTAGCACCCTATCAACTATTTTGGACCCCTAATTTTTTTGGAGCCTCACTTATAAATTGTAAAACCCCAAAAAATTATTTTCTCCTCCCAAATAATACAAAAATTATCCTTATAAAATATTTCACTCATTCAAATGCACACCCCACATGCCCAACACCCCAAAAAGCCTTTCTTCCAAAATCCTAACAAAATTCATAAGGGTGGAACTTTCCCAAAACCAATGAAAAAAAATTTGTGGTGATTAAGAAGTTTTTTCTCTACTTCATTACGAGATTTGTTAATCTATTTGATTTTTTTTTTCTTTTATCTCTTTTCACACACACAACAGAATCCTTTTTCATACTTCTTTGGTTGATTTTATGATTTATCCATGGCCTCACTGTATTTGTATGCTCTTCGTGTGAGCAACATTGAGTAGGATTTCACCCACCGATTGACCACCCAAGTGTAGTCCGACCTCCTTTGTTTGCTTGCTTTTGCTGCTGCTTTGGTTATCTGTTCCAAAACAAATAAGAAATGTTTGGTTATCTATTCCCGAATAAATAAATAATGTTCAGGCCTTTATTTCCGAATTTCAACCATATGTTCGGGAGTTCAGTTCCAAAAAAATAAGGAACAATTTTTATTATTTTTGTAATTTTTTTCAAGAATTTATAAGGCCAATCTTCTCTGAGTTAAGAACACCATCAAAACTATGAATATTTTCTAAGTTTTTATTGTTTCACTCCTTTCGTCTCATGGAGTTGTAGTTGCTAAAAAAAAATTCACTCATTGTCATTGCCGAAGAAGTGTATTTAATCAAATGGTTACCATCGTTGTTGCCAGAATTTTGCCGCCAAAATGTTTTCAAGGTTTCGAGAGCGGATAGATTTTGAATGTGGGATTTTGGGAAGATGGATGGGTGGTGGTGGAGGTAGATACTCTCATAAGTCCTAACTCATGATGTAGTAGGTATGTGGGCTTAATTGTGAGATTGAGTGTCTCAAAATTATTAATGTCATTTTTAGTAATTTCACTTGAGATTATTATTGTAATAAAAAAAAAACTAAAAAATAAGAAGTTCAAAATAATTAATGGAATGCTAATTATAACACTTATATTATATCTTTGTGACTATTAGCCCAACAATAATTTCAAAGGCAACAACCACAAAGGCCAACAAGCTTTATTAGGCCTCGTTTGAGGAGTAATCATTTTAGTCAAAAAGTCAAAAATTACTATAAGTTTTCACATCACTATCTTTATTTTTTTGTATATATTTTCATAAAAAGTCAAAAAATTACTAAAATAGTCTGTTCACAAACGAAGCCTCACTCCATCTATATACTACCTCCATCATTGGAAAGAAATAAATATCACATAAATTGTTAAACTTCTCTCTTTAAAAATTAAATTTACAATTTCACACCACAAAATGATGCTACACAAACACTAGACAATATGCCTGATTATAAGATTCTCACTCATTCTCTTTTGTTCATGTCATTGAAATATAAATTTAATTATATCAAAAGAAAATAGGGCAACTTTGGGTTGAGTAGTATAATGTTGGCCTTATGACATCTACTTTTCTTTTCATTTTGTTTTAATTTGATTTTTCATTTTTTACTATGTGAAATTTAAATTTAAAGGAAGGTTTCTCTTCACTCTATCAAAATGGAATAGGTGTTGTAGTTTATTTTTTTATGGCCCTTATTAGATTTATTTTAGTAATCTACATTGTTTATTTTGTAGAGTTCACTAAACGAATCATTCATGTAGAAGATTAAATTGGTCAAATATCAATATCCACATGATTTGATCACAAACCTATGCAAAAAAATAGATGGATATTTTCTGTAGAAACTAATGTAGATGGTGGATAGATATTGAAATCAATAAATAAATGTACATTTAGTAGAAAATAAATGAAAATAATATTTTTTTCCATTCATACGACTAACAAATTATTGATGAAAAAAATAATCTAACTATTATGTGAATTAAAATTTGAAAAAATATAATTATGTCAAAAGTATGAAACTAACATTATAACAAATAAGAGTTT